AAAAGGGGGAGCTATGGGGAGTGGCTAAAGCTGGAGATCGATCACACATGTGAGGCAACCTATGAAAACAAGGTGTTCCAGCTCCAGCTCTGAGAACTTGAGGTACTCAGGTGAGCCATACAAAGTTGCTAGGCAGAGGGGTTGCAATTGACATCAATTTCCTGGGAGTATAAATAAATGGGCTATAGAGGTTGAGTAGTTCCTTTTCTCCCAGCCAGAGAGAGGGCTCCACCTGATCTCAGCTTTCTATCTCTTGTCTTTATTTCTCCATCCTCTTGCCATCCTCACCCCTGAGAACTTCGAGAGCCATGTGGGCCTTGGCATACATAGTGAATTCAAGGCCAGCATGCACTATTAATAAAAGAAAGCAGAGTAGCATGATGGTTGCCAGGGACTGTGGGGATGTGGGTGGAGATGCTGGTTAAAGGGTATATCATTTCAATCAGGATGAATAATTTTTTGGGGGGGCTGGGGATTTAGCTCAGCGGCAAAAGCGCCTGCCTGGCAAGTGCAAGGTTGTGAGTTCGGTTCCCGGTACCGAAGAAAAACCAAAAACAAAACAAAACAAAACAAAAATAATTTGTTTTGTCTTTTTGGGACAGTGTCTTGCTATGCAGTTCAGGCCGGCCTTGAGCTTACTTTGTAGCCCAGGCTGGTCTTGAACTTGCAATGATGCTCCTGCCTCAGCCTCCTGAGTGCTGGGACTATAGGCATGCACCACCACACCCAGTTGTCAGGATGAATAATTACAGCATGGTAGTTGTGGTTAATAGTGTTTACTTGAAAGCCAAGCACAGTGGCACAACATATAATCCCAACACTCAGGAGGCTGAGGCAGAAGGATCATGGATTCAAGGCCAGCCTTGGTACATACCAAGGCCCTGTCTCAAAACAATTTTTTTTTTACCTGAAATTTGCTAAAGGAGTAGGTCTTAGATGTTTTCACCACTAACAAGAATGTGAGGTCCCATATATGTATTTGCTTGATTTTTAAAAACAAGCCCAATGAGGAGCTGGTAATATAGATTGTGGTAGAGTACTTGCCTAGCATGTGTGAAGCCCTGGCTTTGACTCCTAGAACTGCAAAACAGTAACAACAATCACAATAAAAAGAAAGCTCAATAAAATACTACTATAGCCAGGCCTGGAGGCAAATTTCCATCAGTACTCTGGGAGGTTGAGGTAGGAGAATTATAAGTTGGAGTCCAGTCTGGGCAATTTAGCAACTTAGCAAGAGCCCATCTCAGGAATTTAAAAATTATACTACACTTGAATGCCAGCATGCGGGAGGCCAAGGCAGAGAATCACCAGGAATTCAAAGACAGCCTGGGCAAATAGCTCATGGCTTGCCTGGACTACACAGCAAGAACCTGCCTCAAAAAAACCCAATAAATAAATAAATACAATTTAAAAGATAAAAAAGGGGCTGGGCATGGTGGCATATGCCTTTAATCCCAGCACTCAGAAAGCTGAGGCAGGAGGATCGTTTTGAGTTTGAGGCCAGACTGGGCTACAAAGAGTTCAAAACCAGCCTGAACTGCATAGAGAGATGCTGTCTCAAAAAAAAAAAAAGGTGGGGGAGAATAAAAGGTAAGAAAGGGGCTAGGGATGTAGTTCATTGTGAAGGTTGTGGGTTCCATTTCCAGTAAATAATCCAAACGTCCAATAATTTTTTTTTGGTGGGGGGAGGGTTCTGGTACTGGGAACCAAACTCACAACCTTGTGCTTGCCAGGCAGACGCTGTGCTGCTGAGCTAAATCCCCAGCCCCTCAATAATTTTTTTAAAAAACCAAATAATAAGACAAACAAAAAAGCCCTACCACCATATGTCAAGGCTGAAAAGGCTGAAGGAGTTTTTCATAATGAGGTCCCCAAAGAAGTACACAGAAGCAGATATCAGCAACACAGCAGCAGCAGACAGCTGAGAAGAGCAAGAGCACAAAAACTGCCTGTGTCTTTATTGTATAATTCTTTCTCTTTTTTTGTACTGGGGATTTGAACTCAGGGCCTTGCACATGCTAGGCAAACTTCCATTACTGAGCTACATTCCAGCCCCTATTGTATAATTCTTATACAGGTTGTCATCTCTTATTTACATTCTTACATGCTGGCCTCACTGGCACATGTGTAGTTGTGCACTGCTAAGTCATAGTTACATAACTATATCTCACTGTGCCCTTTTGCTAGACAGTGGGGTCACATCCTCAGGTGTCCTTAGATGCCCCTGAGTTTTGAAGCAGTATGAGTGATTCCCCACATCCCACGCCCTCAAAGTTGAGGGGTATATAAATGTAACATTCTATATGTAACAGGGCACAAGTGCCTCCCCATGCTGCAGTCAGCAAATCAAGAGCCATGTGGTTTTGTAAAACTACCTTTTTCATTTGAGAAGTTTTATCTACAAGTAACATCAAAGCCTGAAGTGTAACATTCAAGGATTGGGCCATATGTTGAGCAAGGGCTTCAACCTGGAGAGCTAGGTTTATGGTCCTTGCCCCTGGTCAGACACAGCATCCCATATGCAGCAGTCAGTATTTCTGATCAGAAGCTATTCCTTAAAAAAAAAACAAAAACCTATTCCTAGCAGTCAGCCATTGCAATGCCTGGTCAAGGTACCTGTTAAGTCATTTCCTGGTGAGAGGAGGAGCTTATGTCCTGAACATGGTCAGCTTTTTGGCTTTGCTCCCAACACATCTCCTCAGTTTGGCACCCCACAAGGGCAGTGCCCTATCTGTCACTTTTGAGCTGCTCAAGCCAGCAGCCAGAGTGTCAGCCCCCTCAAGACACCTCAACTGTCTGTGCACACATATAGGGGGTCTCCTTCATATATGACAAGCAATCACACTGTCCGCAACTCTGCCCATTGACTTAACCTGCCTGTCATGTCTTGTAGTTTGGCCTCCTACACGCGTTCCTAGGCCATGTGTATCATGCATGGGTCCCAAACTATTCTGTTTGGCTGCCAATGGGCTGGTCAAAAAAGAGGCTCACTGTTGAAGTATGTCCCCCAACATGTGAGAGTGGGAGCCTGTTCCACCCCATTCCTGGGATGGGTTGTTTATGTCCATACCCAACCTTCTATCCGGTATTTTGTCTGTACTTCCACTGTCTGTTATCCTGTCATCCCTCACTGGCATGCAGAGCATCATACAGTGCTGTTTCTCAATCAGGGAATGCTGGCTCTCAGCTCCCTTCCACAACTGTGACCAAAAGCCAACAAAGTGCTTCTGCTTCCTCTGTTTTTGCCAAACCCAATATTATTCATACTGTTAGGAGAAATGGCAGGTTAAGGTTAAGGACTCAAAGGGCTTATATCTATGTAACTGCCCTTTTCAAATCCTGGAAAGCAGCTTCTGCTGTGTCTATCCACCCCATGTTGTGTCCATCTTGGTCAGCTGGTATAAAGGGCACAGCAGGGTAGCTAGATGTGTTACATCTGCCAAAAACCTAGAAGTCCAAATATGCCTGTAACTGGCAGACTGTCGTGGGTCTGGGGTATGCTTGGATCTTATCAATACCAGCATTGGATATTACTTTCATCCTACCTGACCAGATAACACCAAAGAATGTGACAGGCAAGCCAGTTCCCTGGACATTGTCTTTGTCCATGGCCCACCCCCATACCAGCAAAGCTTCCTTCACACTATGTATGGTGGCTTCCAACTCTGTAAGGCAGTCAGAGGTTAACATATTTATTGGGGTCTTGGCCTAGCCCCAATCTCCTAAATGAGTGGACAGTGAATGGTTTAAATAAATGAGACCAGTAGTATGATTTTGGAGCACCCAGGAAGGTCAGAACTCTCTCAGGAGTAAATACAAAAAGCCAGGCCTATGAGTCTCCCTAGAGAGAAACCAGTGCTTGAGATTTGACTGTAATTATCACCACCTGACCCAGTGGGCCCAGCTAGATATCAGATGCATAGGTGGGTGACCAGAACATCTGGAAACAATCCCCTCCCTTTGTGACTCCCACATTGTGACTTTGCTATATAAATTATTACTGACAAAGAGCTTCAGTGGCTACTCACTCCCCCAAAACACCCCTCCTGGAAATTCAGGAGCTATTCTCCTTATATTCAGTAAAACTCTCCTAACTTCCTCCTCCTTTTTTCTTTTTCCTTTCTTTTTTTTTTGGTACCGGGAATCGAACTCAGGACCTTGAGCTTGCGAAGCAGGCGCTTGTGCCACTAAGCTATATCCCCCACCCCCACTTCTTTTTTTGCCTCCTCCTTTTTTCGACTTCCTTCCTCCATGTTAAGACCATGATCTCAGCACATCTGACATCTTAACAGTTAGACAGGACATCACAATACTAGAGGACAGTCTGGGCAATTTACCAAGAGCAGTTGCTCAGCACTAGAGCACTTGCGTCCGTGGTACAGGAGGCCCTGGGTTCAAAGCCCAGTGGCCACTCCCTTTCCCAGCCAAACACGGGGGCAGGATGGGCAGAGAGAAGGGAGCAAATGGGCTTGTACCACCCCCAGCACAGCAAAAAAAAAAAAAAAAAAAAAAATTCTTTTAAAAATGTGTTTAATTAATTTCATAAACAGTAATACTTTTCCTTTTTTTATTTTAAAGAGAAAAACTCCAAATTTTCAAAACTAGATAATAGGAGGTAACAATGGTTAATACGTTAAATAATGCTTTTCAAAGAAAGCACAAAAGCCAGTTATAAGAACCGTTTGCAGCGGGTACGAAGACAGTAGGGTAAATTTCACTTTTTCGTCCTCTGCTATATATTTTTAATAATGTCAACCAGAGCAGAGACAAGTAAGAAAAACTTTTAACAGCACAACAAGTGGGGCAAAAAGCCGCTGAGACCTTAAGAATGAAGTACTCACACGAGATAGGACTTAGGGAACGGGTGACGAGAAGCCCCGCCCGGCCCGAGGGCCTGTTTGCGCGTGCGCACTCTCCTCCAGCCGCCATGTCTGCGCGTGCGTGCTCCCTCTGCAGGAGTACGTGGGTCCGCCCGTCGGACGCACGCACGCACGCACGCAGGCGCGCTCTCCGCGATCCATTACTCCAGACGCTGCCGCTGGCGGCGCCTGGATTCCGAAGGTGAGGCGTGGAAAGGTGGGGATCCTGAGAGCGCCCCCCACCCCCGGGCGGGCTCCTGGAGGCAGGCCTCCCTGGGAGCCAGACGGCCGGCGGGAGATGGAGGCCGGCCGGCAACGGCCAGTCCTGCGCTCGGTGAACTCGCGCGAGCCGTCCCAGGTCATCTTTTGCAACCGCAGCCCGCGCGTCGTGCTGCCCGTGTGGCTCAACTTCGACGGCGAGCCGCAGCCCTACCCGACGCTGGCGCCGGGCACCGGCCGCCGCATCCACAGCTACCGAGGTACGCGCCGCCACCGCCGCCGCGAGCGGGTGCCGGCGCCTTGGCCTCCGAGCTCGCTGCTCCTCCCCTCGCGGGGGACACGCCCAGGTCGGTGCTGCTTGGCGGCGGCGCAGCGTTGGGTCACGCTGAGGGGATTGCATCGGAAGGTGGTTTTTCCCCTTCCAAGATCTTGTGTCCCTCACACATGGGCTGCATCCTTGAAGCCTTCCCTTTAGTCCTGCGGCCGCCTCCCCCCCCCACCCCCCGCCCCGTGGACGACTGCATAGAGAGACACAGGCGCGAGCTCGTGTCACCGCTGGGATCGGGTGCGGCGGGTGGTAGGTGCTGCCGCGCGAGGGAGAAGAGTGTGGTCCACTCAGGAAGGGGGTCCCAGGGAAGGAGGGGAGCAGGATGAGCAGGAGTCGGCTTAGTCGGATGAATGCTAAGACCTGGAGCCTCGGCAGAGGGGCTGGTGGGCGTGGAATGGTGGGAGAGGAAGCTCAAAAGGTGGTTCTACCCCTACGCAGATAGGGCCGGTTGCCGTTGTCAGATTTACCCACTGAGTAGCTCACCCAACTGTAGGGTGGTTTGGCGGGAAGACGATTAGTGAGAAGTGTTTAGGAGACTATTAAGCCAGATGAGGGTACCGACGGTGGGGCTCCCTGGGCTCCCCCTGAGCTCAAGGCCAGCCTGAACGACATACTGAGACCTGTCTCAAAAAAATCAACGGAACAACAAAAAACGGGTTAGGGCTAGCTAGGCTTTTAACTAAGGGGCTCTTCTCCTGTCCTAGCCTTCAATTTTCATAACCTTTTTCTTGCTTTGTTTTTGTCTTCTTTTGAGACAGGGTTTCACTATGCTTTTTTTTGAGACAGTGTATCACTATGCAGTTTAAACTGGCCTTGAACTCACTTTGTAGCCCAGGCTGGCCCGAACTTGTAGTGATACTCCTGCCTCAGCTTCCTGATTGCTGGGATTACAGATGTGTACCACTGTGCCCCACCTTAATATCAGTTTTACTTAAAAAAATTACCTACCATGTCACTGAATTGTATACTTAAAAATAGTTAAAATGGGGCCCGGCGTGGTGGCAGATGCCTAATCCTAGCACTCAGGAGGCTGAGGCAGGAGGATCGTTGAGAGTTTGAGACCAGGGTGGGCTACAAAGTGAGTTTAAGGCCAGCCTGAACTGCATAACAAGACCCTATCTCAAAAAATAGAAAAACAAAGAAAAAAGTTAAATTGGGCCGGGCTGATGGTGCCTGCCTCTAACACCAGCTACTGAGGTGCCTGAGGTAGGGGGAATGTGCGTTTGAAGCCAACCTGAGATACTCGCAAGATTCTGTCTCAAAAAATTAAAAAACAGGGGTTGAAGTGTAGCTCAGTGATAGAGTACCTGCCTGCCTAGCACGTGTGAGGCCCTGGGTTCTGTGTTTGTCACCACAGAAATAAATAAAACACTTAGAAGGGCTATGGGTGTAGCTCAGTGGTAGACTGCTTGCCTAGCATGCAACTTCCAGAACTACAAAAAAGCAAAAGTTAGAATGGTAAATATTATGTTATGTATAGTTTGCCACAGTGAAAAAATTACTTGCCAGTTTAGATTTTTGAAAATGTCCACCAAATCTTCAACAAAGTTTATACCCCCGGAAGGAGTGCTCTATTTATGCTGAGAGAACACCCTTCTTCCGTAGCGCATTCCCGCTGGCCTGCACTACCGGTGGTACATGTGTGACTGTCCTATCAGGCAGCATGGGACAGTCATGTACATATTTTCAGTGGTTCAGAGCTGGTAGCAGCAATACGTACAAACTACAGCCCTGTCATGAACATGTTAGACAGAACCCTCATTGTTGGGGTTTGTCTTCTTCCCCATCCCTTTCATCTTATACATATGATGTCTTTTTAAAATTTAGGTATAACTTACATGATAAAATCTGCTGGTCTTTAGCCTTGATGAGGTTTGGTAGTTGTACACCTAAATGGGAACATCTCCATCTCTCCACGGAGATCCCTCTTGCCCATCCAGTTCCCCCAGGCTTCCGTTTTTCACACCTTTGTTTATTGTGCCTGGTTTTGCACCTTCTTTTGAGAAGCACAGGTTTGGAAGCCACTGGCCTTATCACTGCAGTGTTCAGTGTGGTTTGCAGTCGTCTGCTTTGCATAGGCTTTGCTTTTCACAATAGTTGTGTATTTGTGCCTGCTCTTCTGCTGTTTCCGTTGCCTTGACAAATCACTGGACCTATCAGACCTGCTTTCTCCTCTATAAGTGGATCTCGTGTAAGGGTTATGTTGTGATGTTACTGGAGGGGCTGTGTGACATTTAAGCAGAATGAGAGGTGGGAAGGTCCTGTCAGTCAGGGCTCTTGGAGAAGGCAGATGCCTTGATCAGGTCACTGTGGCTCCCTAACTGCCTCTGCTTGTGCAACAGGTCACCTTTGGCTCTTCAGAGATGCAGGAACACACGACGGGCTTCTGGTTAACCAGACCGAATTATTTGTGCCATCTTTGAATGTTGACGGACAGCCTATTTTTGCCAACATCACACTGCCAGGTACTGAAGGTCGATCATACTTTTTATAAAAGTTGTTTGTTGTAATGAGTAGTAGATAGGTCGTTTGAAAGAATGAAAAATTAGCATCATAGTTCATTGTTTGTTTAAAAATCAAATGAGTTTACTAGGTTGAAGTTAGATTTATCAAGACTCTGTCTCAAAATGAAAAATTTGAAAAGGAGCAGGAACGTAGCTCAGAGTGAGGGCCCTGGGTTCAGTCCCTAGTACTGCAAAGACAGCTGCAGTGTTACACATTTATAGATAGATCTTGTGTTTAAAAAAATGGGCATACAAAGAGTATTGAGCATTGTTAAGTTTGGTAAATTTTGCTTTATAGGATACTTTTTAGTTTTGTTTTGCATTTCTGTAGATTGAACCTAGGGGTGCTCTACCCCAGAGATACCTTCCCAGCCTAGTTTTTTTCTTTTTCCTTTTTTTTTTTTTTTTTTTTTTGAGGTAGATTCTTGCTATGCAGTGCAGGTTGGCTTTGAACTCACTTATGTAGCCCAGGCTGGCCTTGAACTCTTGGCAGTGCTGGGATTACAGGTATGCACCACCACACCCAACTATATTTTTTTCTTTCTTGAGGCTGGGTCTCACTTGCTCAGGCTGACCTCATACCTGCGTGGTGTTGCATACCTATAATGCAATTACTCCATGGCTGAGGCAGGAGGCTCACAAGTTTTGAGGCCATCATGGACCACTTAGAAAAAAATTTAAAAGGTGGCTAGGAAAGACATGTATGGTAGAACATGCCTGTTCTACCACACATGTATGGTAGAGCACTTGGGAGGCTGACACAGGGAGTTGATGGAAAGTTTGAAGGCAGTCTGGGCTACATAGTGAGTTTAAGGCCATCCTGGACTACATAGTGAGACCCGGTGCAAAAAGCAGGGGGGTCCTGGGGAGGTTGGGAATGTAGCTCAGTGGTAGAGTACCCCTGAGGGCCCAGTCCCCAGTACCAAATAGACAGATCAATTAATCAATCAATCAGTTGGTCTCGGGTTGTGGCTCAGTGACAGCACTTGCCTAGAATGTATAAGGCCCTGGGTTTGATCCCAGCACTACAAGAAAAGAAGTGTAAGTTCCTCAGTGAGTTTAAAATAGGAACTGAGTTACTAAAAAATCCAGTTTCACACTGTCTTTGTTGATCTGTTGTCATGTGACACCCACCCAAAACTAATTGTCATTACTTGTTGAGATTATGTGGCCTGAGCTGCACTTAGCCAGGTGGCTGTGGCCACCTTCTACAGCCGGGGCTCTCTTCCCAGTGGTCTCAGGGCCTGTGACCTAGTCAGCAGCACAGCTCAGAGTGTACCGCATTGCTGCTGGCCCTTCTTAAGGCTTAGGCCCAGCGCTGCCGGGGTTTCTTCATTCACATGCAGGCTGGGAAAGCCGATTGCCGGCCTAGCCCTCTTTCAAGGGGAGGTTACTACAGGCACAAATCCTGGGAGCACCCTTCGTGCAGTGCTAGCACAACACATGCTCAGCTTTTGTTATTTTCCCCTATTTATTTAACCTACATCAAGGTCCACTGTATTAAACAGCACTGCTGTGCTTGGCAACCTCTTGCTCCCCTTGTCCCGAGGCCTGGCTGTCCCTGAGGATCTGGTCTCCTGCCTTGCAGTGTACACCCTGAAAGAACGATGTCTCCAGGTCGTCCGGAGCCTTGTGAAGCCTGAGAACTACCGGAGACTGGACATCGTCAGGTCACTCTACGAGGATCTGGAGGACCGTCCAAATGTGCAGAAAGACCTGGTACGCCTGACACAGGAGCACATTGCCAGTCAGCCACCGGAAGAGGAGCCCCAGCAGCTGGATGGAAATTAGCATTCCTGTTCCTCAGCTTCTCTGCTACGGATGAGTCTTGCTCTAAATAGAGGACTGGCCGTTACTCTCAGAGTGTCTCGTTCTTGAGTGAAATATACTACTTTGCTTAAAGGAAAGGTGATTGACTTTGCTAGGTGTTGCTGTGTTGAGAGACGAACATCAGAAAGCGTCACTTCATCCCTGCCTTTTGTAGAAGTACTCGTCAGGGGAAAGTAGTTAAGTGGGACAGTCAGTGTAAGAGTGTTTCAATAAGACTCACCCTGGGAGAAAGTGGTGGCTTCTGCTTTGAACTGATGATGTGCCCAGCTCCCAGTGTAGGATTGGGATTGGGCTGTCCTTGAGGCAGGGAGTGGTCTTTCTCCTTGTAAGGCCCCAGTGCCTAACTCAGTGCTGGTGAACCTACGGCACATGTGCCACAGCGGGCTGTTTGTTATCATTGACAGTTCTGAAGGGTTCACTCTCACTAACCTAGCTCATCCTGAGCCTTCAGTCAGTGTGTCGGTGAGCAAACCAGGGGTGCTCCGGTGGAAAGGGTTCAGAGGGTTGGTGTCTTCTGTTCAGGGAGGCTTCAGCCTGTGGCGGCTAGCGCATACCTGTAATCCCAGCACCGAGAGGCTGAGGCAGGAGGATTACTGCAAGTTCAAGGCCAGTCTGGGCTGCATAGCAAGTTCAAGGCTGCATAGCAAGTTCATAGTGAGACCCTGTTTCAAAAAATCAAAGAAAAACAAACCACTTTTTCTAATTTTCTAAGTCTCCTTACCTTTTTTGGTGCACTCCTTTTGTAATGCTGTTTTGCTTCTATTTCTAAATCAAGGTTAGGTTTCCACATTTACTGTGATAATAACTTTTTTTGGTAACTTGCCATGTACACAAAAAGAGCAGAAAAGAACTGTCCTTTGTTTAATTGTAGTGTGAAAGAACTGTGCGTAAACAGGCTGTCAGATGTGGGTATGTCTGTTCAATCCGTAGCATTTCCATTTGGTTTAGCATCTTTAGCTGCACGACCTGGTCACACCTTACATGGTTGGAGAGAGACCAAAGCCCTCCACCCCAGGCCAGTTCCTCCTAACAGTGAGTCCTGGAGTAACCTGGAGTGTTGCAGTTTTGTAAATGTACACATTCTTTCTTATAGGCTGGACAGTAAGCAATTAACTCAAATTTAATACTTCTATCATACTTACTTTTTGTAACTAATAGTGCTTTTTAAAAAATTCCCCTAGCAGAGAAAAATTTAAAAAGAGAAGCAGCCAGGTGTGGTGGTGCATGCCTGTAATCCCAGCATTTTGGAGGCTGAGACAGGGGGATTGGTGGGACTTTGACGCCAGCCTGGACTACACAGTGATAGTGACCCTGTCTCAAAAAACAAAAAAAAAGTAAAAGAAGATCACTGTAGATGCACTACTTAAATACAGTCACTGTTAACTTTTCAGTTTTTTCTTTCAGCCTTTTATAGGACACGTTTGGTCAGTTGGTTTTGACACAGTTAAGATCATGTACTGTACGGTTTTATATTTTCCATTTTCATTTAAGTTTATAACTTAAATATTTTCCCATGTTATTGTAAGCTTTCCATAAGCATTACTGTAACCCTCATGATGCCGGTGAGGTGTATCTCGGTGTTGCTAGTTTCATGGGGTACAGTCCTGTGGGATATCTCGGTGGTATCTCTGCTGCCTTCAACTCACCTAATCTCATCCATCCTCTTGGGTTGGCAGCAAAGGCACTTCTTACAGGGATGCTGTGCAGCTTGCTGTAGGATTTTGACTTTCTATCAAGCCTGGTGGAGAGGCAGAGGTCCCTGTGCGTTGTGGACACCACTGGGACCTGTGGGGCCAAGGAAATCGCCACAGCAGTTCAACATGGATTTTATGTTTTAAACTTGTTACTATGTCAAGCTGAGAGTTCATCTTTCTCTTGTGAAATACAAAATTTGATGTGTCGCTATTTTTTTGGGGCCGGGGGGTGGATTTTTTTCCGGTACCGGGAACTGAACTCATGACCTTGTGCTTGCCAGGCAGGCGCTGTGCCACTGAGCTAAATCCCCAGCTCCTAAATACAAAATTTGAAACACTGTTTTCTGTGTTGTCCAGCAAGAAAGATTGACTTACAGCATGAAAAATGTATATTTTTAATTTGGAATCTTGTGAATGTATTGTTCTTAAGAGACTGTGATATTTCCTATTTTGAATTTTAAAAAACCTGTACATTAAATGGTGCTCAGTAAAGAAAATAAGCCAGTGTGTTGTGCTGTTTTAACCCGGCTCTTCTCTCCAGGGGAGTTTGGACAGGGCTTGCTCAATGGCTGGGGTGGAAGAGGGACAGATGAGGGCTGTCACTTCTGTGTGTGGGGCCTGGGTTGGAGGCCCCATTCTTCCACCAGCCTCCTTCTAATTCTCCCTTCCCAACCAGAGATTTATTCTTAATTTAACATCATTTTGCCTAGCTTTATTTTTTTATAAAAATGAAATACCACTGTGAAAAATTTATGCACTGCAGAAAATTGTTAAGAAGAAAAGCATTTGCTTTTCACTGAAAAGTGTCCTCCCCGACTCCAACAGAACCAGAAAAGGCCAGAGGTCAGTATTTCCCCAGTGACTCTGCTGACAATCGAAGGAGACTGGCCTGGATCCAGTGCATTGATGAGATGTGAAGGAGGTTGGGTAGCTCAGGGCGAGAGTACTGCCTCAGGCTGGGCACTATCCCCAGTACTGCCACAGCCACGAAGAAGGAAGTATGCAACTTGTCAGTTCAAGTACTTCTACCCTAGAGGGTATGGGGTTAGCTCAGTGATAGCGCACTTGCCTGTCATGCACAAGGCTCAAGTTCAATCCCCAGCACTGCAAAAACAAAATTTCTACCTTCCATCCTTAATACTTCAGTCTCACTTTCTGTTAGTCACTGGCTGCGTGATCCTCTAGGTCTTCCCCTTTCTGTCTGCACACCTCAACTCCTGGCCTCAAGAAAAGATTTTCTGGAAGCCAGTGGTGGTGCACACCTGTAATCCCAGAACTCAGGAGGCTGAGGCAGGAGAATCACCGTGAGTTTGAGGCCAGCCTGGGCTACATAGTAAGACCCTGTCTTAACACAATAAATTTTCTAGCCTAGAACCTTCACCACACATACCCAGGAGTCCACTGGCAGATAGAGAAAAATAAGATATACTTCCAATGGTCATCAAAAGCATTGAGCAAAGTGAGACACACGTATAATTCCAGCTACTGGGGAGGCTGAGGCAGGAGCATTAAAAGTTCAAGGCCAGCCTGGGTAATTTAGCAAGACACCATCTCAAAATGAAACGGCTTGTGGCTGGGTCAGGTGGTGCAGAGGCAACCTAGGCTACATAGTGAGTTCAAGGCCAGTTTGAAATATACAGTGAGATCCTATCTTAAAAAAAAAAAAACTAAAAAAAAACCTGGTAGCTTAGTACCCACTGGGTTCAGTCTCCAGCACTGTGTCTGACCTGAGGCCATAGAAACTTTGTTTGTGGTTATTTCCCTGAGCTATGCAGGGCAACAAGTGCTCCCACAGCACTCACTATGGGGTGTGAGAGGTGGGGATGTGTATAGGGTCTGTGCAGTTTCTCAGCCACTGTAAATACGGGATTTGAGTGCCCGAGGTAACACCGTGGGATGATGTTTTCTCTCTTCCCACAGTGAGTCCCCTGCAGTCAGGAGACCATGACCATTTTCTTTAAGTAAGTATGCAGAGGGCGCAGAGAAGGTGTGCGACTGTCTTTCCGTGCTTCCACTCTGCCTGCATGTACTGGAGTCACCTGGAGCCCACTGTGGAGAGGCTGAGATTGTCTCCAGGACTGCCTGGTTGGGCATGGAGGCCCTGGCTAGCGACCCAGCACTTGGGGGCTGTGCATGGAGGAGCAAAAGTTTGAACCCAGCCTGGGCAACTTAGACCCTGTCTCAAAAATAAAATATAAAAAAGGGCAGCAGATATAGCTCAGTGCAAAGGTCTGGGTTCAGTCCTCAGTAATGCCAAACTAACAAACCCACAAGAAAAGGCCTGTGTCAGAGCCCTACCCGGGACATGGCCTAGGTCTCAGGAGGCAGGGCCGGTGTCTGGTGCCCACAGCTCCCCAGCCAAGCCCTGTGTGCAGCAAGGGCTGCAGATTGGACTGACACAGAGGCTGCTAGTCAGCCTCAGGCCCTGGCAGGGAGCGAGTCATGGTCTGGTGAGTGAGAGGATGACGGCATTGCTTGGGAGGAACAGAGGGACATTTCTGTAGTGGGGAGGTCGAGGGCAGAAGTAGCATTTGTTCTGGAGTCAGACTTGAGCCCAGCTCTCCCTGGACAGCGCGGGCCAGCTGTAAGACAGGAACAGTAAGCCTTGACGGGGTTGTGTGGCTTTTGACACATATGCTACCACAAGCTTGGTAGGGAGCAGGTGGGTGGCAACTCTTGTTAACTCTTGACTGTTTCCCTTGGGAGAACATACTCTGAATAGGGGATGGATCTTAGGCTGGAGCTGAGTCCCTGGAAGACCCCAGGTCCTGAGGGTACGGTGAGAAGGATATGGGCCAGGGTCCATGGAGAGTTTGAGAAGCCCTGGCCTTCTGGCCTGGACCAGGTTGAGCTTGAACCTGCTGTGCCTGAAACCCTGGGGAGCGGAAGAGGTAGACACCACGGAGGAGCCTGTAAACATACTCACACCCACAGAAGCAGGGACGAAAAACAAAGCCCCAAATGGACAGGAGTCTAGGTCAGTGGTAGAGTGCTACCTGGCACATGCAAGACCCTGAGTTCATCCCCAGTACTGCAGACAAATATCAGTTAAAAAGTGGGGGAGTGGTGGTGGACTGCAGTGAAGGAATACTGCACTTTGATTCTTTTGTCCCCTCAGCCGGGAGGTAGTGCTTTCCCACATGGCTCTCAGGCCATCCTGAGAGTCTGGCCCTCTTTTTTCTGTGAGGCAGGGTCCACTAGGCAGTCTGGGCTGGCCCTGAGCACAGACTAGGTTCACACTGTCTTCCCAGTCTGGGTGGTGCTACCCTACCTGGCTCCAGCCCCCGCCAGATCTGAAACCCAGGACAGCCCCAGAAGAGGGCTGAGCACACTGGATGCTGCCACTTGGCATCAGTGAGGTGGGCGGGCATGCTTGCATCTGCCCCGGCTAGCACTGCCCTGCACGGGTGTCCTGGGGCCCATGTGAGTGTCATGGCAGTCCTTCCAAGTGCAGGGCAGGATGCCCCATTTATGAGAGGAAAGCAGCACTTGCTCAAGGATAAATAGCCAGAGGGTGGCTGGCCTAGCACCAAGGGTTTTTTGATTTTTTTTACTTTTGATGTTGAGACAGGTTCTCATTAAGCCGCTAAGTTGCGCAGGCCGTACTTGAATGTAGATCCTTCTGTTTCAACCTCCCAAAATGCTGAGATGACAGATGTGTGCACCATCCCTGGCAAGGACTCAAGTCTTTTTTTTTTTTAATTTTTTTTTTGTTTTTTTTTGTTTTGTTTTGTTTTTCTCCAGTACCAGGAACCGAACTCATGACCTTGCACTTGCCAGGCAGGTGCTTTGCCGCTGAGCTAAATCCCCAGCCCTTCAGGACTCAAGTCTTGATAGAACTCCAAGACTGGTAGGCTCTCCTTTCAAAATAGTAATGGCACTGGGTCTGGTGGCACATGGCTGTAAGCTCAGCACTCAGGATGCTGAGGCAGGAGGATCCCAAGTTTGAGTCCAACCTGGGCAATTTAGTGACTTAATGAAGTCCTGACTCAAAGATTGAATGAGGGCTCATGCTGGGGATGTAGCTCAGTGCAAAGGCTCCAGTAGTGCTGAGAAGATAAATGAATAAATAAAAAATGTCAGTGGCATCTGCCATTTTGGGAGTCCATTCTCTACCCAAGGCCTTAGATAGTAGGCGTTCTTTATGGGATGTACAATTCTGTTTTATCCACTTTTCTCACACCTCTTTTAAGTAGGGATGATTAGTTCTACTCTCCAGATGTGGAAAACAAAGCTGACAAGTGAAATGAGTTGTCCAGGGTCACAAAGCCTATTGGTGGCCGAACTGGGACTTGGCCCTAGGACTTCTCACTTTGGTACCAGTCTCTGTTTTGGGAAGCCGCATTCCTTCACTGTTTATAGTTACAAGTTGCACTCTGATGCTGCCTAACCCCTTAGAACCTATTTGTGGTTGAGTAAAATGGGGATAATAAGCAGATGTCGTAGTGGGGGGCCTATAGTCCTACTTAGGAGGCTGAGGCAGGAGGATCTCCTTATTTTATTTTATTTTTTTTGTTTTTTTTCCAGTACCGGGAATCAAACTCACAACCTTGAGCTTGCCAGGCAGATGCTGTGCCGCTGAGCTAAATCCCCAGCCCAAGAGGATCTCTTTATTCCAGGAGTTTGAGGCCAACCTGGCCAACATAGTGAGACTCAGTCTCAAACAACAAAAACAAAAACAATCTCTGATTTACAGTAGTGAGAATTACTGATCACTCATGCAAAAGCACCCTGTAGGCCAGGGATATAACTCAGTGGCACGGTGCCTGCCTGGCAAGTGCGAGGTTGTGAGTTTGATTCCCGGTACAAAAAAAAAAAGCACACTCTAAGCCAGGTGTGGTGATGCATGCCTGTAATTCCAGCTCTGGGCAGGCTGAGGCAGGAGGATCACTATGAGTTTGAGACTAGCCTGAGTGAGACTCTGTCTCCTCCCCGCCCCCCCCCCCCCGCAAAAATGCACACTGTAGAAACAGTAGCTATGGCAAAGGCAGCTTGTAGCCAGTGGCAATGAAGAGCTGGGGCAGTCAAACCACAGCTCCATTCCGTTGTACCTGTGTGATTTTAGGCATGGTATTACACCTCCCCGTGCCTCAGTTTCCTTATTTGTAGGATGGAGGTGGTCACCACACACCTACCTCATAGGGTCACTCTAAGGAATAAGTAACATGTGAAGTCCGCAGATAGTTAACTGCCAACAAGTGCCGCACTGTTTGTATAAGTGCTGTTGTTCCCGCCCCGTGTGACCATTTGGTTTGCCCCGCAATCCCCTGTACCATACGCTGTTCTGCCAATTGTACTTTTCAGCTCTGAGACACTGTGGTTAGTAACCAGCCTTCCTCTCTCACACGTGTGACTTTATTCCCTAACACGATTACACCTTCCAGTCGCCACTCACCGTCAATTTCCTCTGTGGTGGACAGTGCCAGAATGGCACCCAGAGCCCACACCTGTAATGCCTTTTGTTTTTTTCCAGCACTGGGGATTGAACCCAGGGCCTTCGCACTCAACTATGTCCCTGGCCCTTTTCCTATTTTTTGCTTTTTATTTATTTATTTCCCCTTTTTCTAGTTCTTATTTTCAGATAGGATTTCACAAAGTTGATCAGGCTGGGCTCGATTTTGTGATCCTCCTGCCTCAGCCTCCCAAGTGCTGGGATTACAGGCGTGCTCCACCACGCCCACCTCTTTTACTGTTCTGCAACAGCACCCACGGCTTTCCAGCACGGTGTAGTTGACTGCCGATCCACGACTCCATGGAGAGTCCCAAGAAGAGAGAACGCAGGGTAGGCTTTCTTCCCCGGTGCGTCCTTACCCTCTGAGGCCGGCAGGGGGCGGTGCCCACGGCCCCACCGCTCCACCACTGCAGCCCCGCCCCCAGAGCCCCGCCGCGTCGGCCCTGGCGCTGCCGGAGCAGCCTCGCCATGGCTGGCTTCATCTACCAGCTCCCCGCCCGCGTGCTGGACGAGCTCTGCCGCAGCATGGACACGCTCAGCGAGTGGGACTGGATGCAGTTCGGTGAGTGTGCCCGCGGGGCTCCCGGGGAGCTGTGTTCCTCCTACCCGAGGGCAGGAGCCCCTGCACACGCCTATTACCGGGGGCACTCCGGGAGGTTGAGGCAGGAGGGTCGCAAGTTTAAGCCCAGTCTGGGCAACCGAGTGACTTGGCGAGACCCCGTTTCAAAATAAAAAATAAGGGTGATGGTGGTTCAGGGATATAGTTTAGTGCGAAAGCACTGGGTTCAATCCCCAGTATCAAGAAAAAAATGAAAAAGGAAGTAACCTCCCCGAGAGCTTAGGCTGGCTAGGTGTCAGAGTGGGTGGCATTCGAACCCAAGCCGTGGACAGTACCTCGTGCCTGATGATTGGCCGAGTGGCTGCTTGTATGTCTCAGCTCCCCAGACAGAGACCTATATTCCACTGCTCAGCACTTTCTAGCCCTGTGACTTGTGGGCAATTTCTCACTCTCCATGAGCCTCAGTTTTTCAATCTGTAAACTGGAGATGAAATGATAACTTTTTTTTTTTTTTTTTGAGACAGAGTCTGATTATGCAGTTCAGCCAGGCCTTGACTCACTATGTAGCCCAGGCTGGTCTTGAACTTACAGTGATCCGCCTGCCTCAGCCTTCTGAGTGCTAGGATTAAGGGCATAGGCCACCATGCCCCGCCCATAGCTTCTTGTTTGTTTGTTTTTGGAACTGGGAATCAAACTCAGGACCTCCTGCTTGCCAGGCTGGCGCCATGCCACTGATCCCCAGCCCCCTTCATAGCTTCTTAATAAAGTTTCACAATGAAAACATTGTACAGAATGGGAGTCCACCTCCCCCAAGTGTAGATATTCTTGCAAGTGGTGAGGACGTGTTACGTTGTCAGTTTTATGTTATGGCTTAAGTCAGTGTAACTGGTGCCCCTTGATTTTGTGAATGTAATAGTGGCTTCCTAGTGAATACTTTATACTGTTAAATATGCCACTCATATGAAAGAGTATATAACATACAGAGTGGAAAGAATACCAAAGAATGAGCCCATGTTATCTATGTGGTCTGAGCTCACTGCATGTATTTTAACTGAGTGGTTCTCACCCAGGGGTGATTTGGGCGCTTGGGAACCTTTCTGGAGACACTTGGGTCTTCACAGCCTGGATGTCGGCAAAGCTGCAGATTGTCGCACAGGAGGGGCTGTGGTGTTGGGTGGCAGTGTCGGGAGCTTTAATTCTCTGAGAGGATGGGCAAGGCCTGGCCATCCAGCCTGGCCAGGGGGAGAGTGGTACCCGCTCCTCATGAAGCACTTGGAAAACAACCACCACAGAAAGCTTAGCTCAGATTCTGCCATCCAGACAGAGGTATTCTTCTGTGCTTTTTTTCCATTTGTTTGTTTATGTTTTGGAGTACTGGGGCTCAAGCGTGCTAGGCGAGGCCTCTGCTATTGGCTGTGGTGACTTGAAAGGCAACAGCTGTGTGAGGTGAGCCTGTCATGGGATATGTGTGTCTGTCTCCCCATGTCCAGGCTCTTCGTGTCCGGGGCAAAGAATTGAGCAAGACACATGGGGTGGCACAACGTGGGTTTGTTTACTGTGGGGAAAGTGTGCCCAGCACCCTGTCCACTGTAGGGTTGAGGCCCAGGGTTCCCAGTGGGCAGTGCCGGAAGTGGCACTGCCAGTAGTGGGCGGCCACCCTAGGCCTGTAGGAGTTCCAAGGTTGGCTTTTCTCCCCTTTCCTGGAATGTGGGGCTTGGCCAGGGCTGGTAACTAACTGAGTAAACTGTTTTGGTGGGAAGGGAAGTTTTGTTTGTTTGGGGTTGGGTGTTTGGAGTTAGGGGCTCACCCTATAGCCCATCTGGCCTTGAACTCTAGTGCTTGCCCTTTTGCCTCAGGAAATTTTGACTCTATGGACCCAGCACCAGCCCGGCTGCTGGAGTCCCGCCAGGGGTCCAAATGCAGTGCTGAGCCCAAGGTGCAGGACCCCAAAACAGTTAGAGTGTTCTCTCCCCAGGCTCCTGTCCATGCTGGGAAGGGTGAGCAGGTGGATCTGCGAAGGGCTGCAAGGGCCCCAGCTGTGTCAGAGGGTAGGCGCGTTGTGGCCCCCGGCACTCGGGTCTCCTGCCTCACAGGGTGCAGATTGCGTACAGGGGATGGGGATGGGGCTGGAGCGGTCTCCTGAAAGAGGTCAAGTGGATCCTCTAGTCGTAATTTTCTGAGGAATTTCCACAGTGGTTGCACTCCCACCAACAATGGAGAAGGGTTCTTTTTTCCCCACAGCTTTGCCAGCATTTGATATTGGTCGATTTCTTGATGATAGCAATTCTTTCTGGGGTGAGATGGAATCTGTGTTGTTTTAATTTGCGTCTCTTGAATGACCAGTGATGTTGAACATGTATTCATGTACTTATTGGCCATTTCTACTCCTTCGGAGAAGTATCTGTTCATTTCAGTTGCCCATTTTTTGATTGACTCTTCTATTTTGGGAGCACCTAATATTTTGAGGTTTTTGTTTGTTTGTATGTTTGTTTTTGTATTTTGAGGCAGGGTCTCACTATGTATGCGTGCTGGCCTTCAACTCACTGTGTAGCCCTATCTGACCTGAAACTTGTGGTGATCCTCCTGCGTCAGCCTCCCAAGTGCTGGGACGATAGACATGTACCACCACTCCTGGCTTGAGTTCTTTACATATTCTAGATATGAGTCTCTTTAAGAGGAGTAGCTGGCAACATTTTTTTCCCTGTTCTTAGATTGTCTCTTTACTCTGTTGGTTGTTTCTTTTGCTGGGCAGAAGCTTAATTTGATATAATCTTGTTTGTTGATTCTTGGTACTATTTCCTGTGCAACTAGGGTTCTGTTCAGAAATTCCTTACCTGTGATACCTGGGCTTGATGGCTCATGTCTGTAATCCCAGCACTTGGGAGGCTGAGACAGGAGGATCACCACAAGTTTGAGGTCAGACTGGGCTACATAGTGAGTTCAAGGCCAACCTACACTATGTAGCAAGACCGTATCTCAAAAACAAAACAAAACAAAACAAAAAACCAGAAAAAAAGAGAAAAGTCCTTGCTTACTTCTATGACTTCAAGAAGAAATTCTACACTCCTTAAATGTTGCTCATAGCTGTGCATGTAAGTGCATACCTGCAATCCCAGAACTTGGGAGGCTGAGGCAGGGTGATCACCAGTTTGAAGTAAGGTCTGGAAATATAACTCACTGGTTAAACATTTCTGTAGTGTACGTGAGCCTTGGGTTCAGTTCTCCGTACCAAACAAACACAGTGAGCTCAAGACCAGCCTGGGCTGTGTAGTGAGAGCCTTTCAAAAGCACTTCCCCAAAAGTCCCTCCCAGCCCCTCCCTGGGTTTCCCCGTTGGTGTGTGATGCTATACCAGACCGTGCCACGTAAAGGTCGCCTTGCCTCTCGCCGTGGCCCCCTCGCCTTTGGGACTGACTGCCTTTGTTCACGCTGAGGTTTCCCTGCCACCGCTGCATCGGTACTCAGTTTTGTGGCGCTGCGGGTGGACCTGGGGAGCTCAGCAAGCTGTCCGCCCCGAGCTCCACCCCAGCCCTCAGTGACGGCCTGTCGAGTGGCTGTTCCACCACTTGTTTGCCCACCCGGTTGCTGGCCATTTGGGTTTTGGCGATTGTTAACAGTTCAGCTGTGACAGTGGTGTGCAGTGGACTCCCGTGATCCAGTGGGTGTGTTCCCAAGGTGGGTTGGGACTGCCGAGTCCCATGGCAGGGAGGCTGGCCTGCCCATCTGTCCACTTCAAGACTGTGGATCGTTCTTCCACTGGCTGTGCAGGGCTGCACCCCCACCAGCGGGTAGGAGGGGCATGTTTCTTTTCTGTTTCTCGTTTCTCGACGCCCTTGTCAGCCACTTTACTGTGGTCTCTTTGGTTCTATCCATGGCGTGGGTGTGACATGACGTTTTCTGGTGGTGTGTGTGTGTTTCCTTAGTAAGTAGATAAGCGTCTTCTCACATGCAGTTTGACCATTCACGTGTCCTTTTGGAGGACATTTCTCAGTTTGCAGGCCCCAGAGATACCAGCTGGTCCCTGTGCCTGGAGGGTACCGGAGGCTGCCGGGCGGCCCCGCCTGTCCTCTGACCTCGTGCCTGCACTGCTCTCTCCCTGCTTTAACTCCTTGCCACCTGTGCTGGGCCTCTGGGCTCTCAGTTTGCGCTTGCTGCTGTGACATGCTCCCCCACACAGTGTGGTGTCCCTGGGCCTGCAGGCCATCCCTCAGCTCGGGGCCTCCTCTGCCTTCACATCTGCTTCCACCTTGTGCTTTGGTCTTTGAAGCTCTTCGTCCACGCTCCCGCCTCCCGAGCCAGGACCGTGGTGATCACAGAGCTGGTGACCCAGGGTGATCTCCGGTCTCTGAATTTTTGTGTAATCCCCTCTGCAAAGTCCGCTTTGCCATGTGAAGTGCCATATGCACAGGCTTGGGGTTCAGGGTGTGGGTGTCTTTGGGGTGGCATCGTCCTCACTGCTGTGTCCCTGTAGGTCAGCTCGAAGCCTCATTCCAGGGCCGTTCCTGACACTGACTCCGCGGCCCTCCTGGGCTTTTCTTCACTCTTGTTGGTCTCCGTGCTTTGGCATCACCAGGTTCCTGACCTCTCTGAGACCTTCTTGCCAGAGGTGTGAGTGCCCGGCTGTTGGAGCAGGTGCTGAGCTAAGCTGAGGGAGGGCCTTGGGCAAGGGGCGCAGCTGTGTCTGCATCCCACTGCAGGGGCTGTGCAGGGCCCTGGCCAGGCCGTCCTCCTTGGCCCGAGGCTGCCTATAGCTCTGGCCCTTGCCCTTGGCTGGGTCCTGGTGCTGAACCTGTGAGAGCGGGAAGCTATGGTCCCTGAGCCACTGTGGTCTGGGGGAAAAGGGCATGGGGCGTGGGAAGGATAGGAAGTGCCTTAGAGAATCCTGGCCACAGGTCTGCACCATGTTGTGGCTTGGACGCTGGGTGGACTGGCTGTCTGTCTCATGGTTAGTTCCTGACCGCTGTGGCCATCAGGGGCCTGTACAAGGGCAGGGCCCCGGAGGCTCTAGCCCAGGCTGTGCGGGGATCTCCTTCTGGCTCAGGAGTGCTAGCCATCCTTGTGTGCTCAGGCCAGGGCCCCCTGTTGGGCCTGTCTTTGCCTTGCCTGTGGTGCCTCCCTCATGCTGCAGGGAGGCTCAGAAAATGGGGTTGCAGAAGTTCTGAGGTTCCCCTTCCCTCTTGAGGAAGAGCCCCTCAGTCGGGGGATGGGGAATTTGTGCCATTGGGGCATTGCAGCAGGCTGTGCCCCGTGGCCCTGGAGGATGCTCGGGGTGGCCAAGGTGAACTCGCAAAGGAGTGCTGAAGCGGCGGTTCCATGGGAGGGTCCCGGGGTCACACGGCGGAGGGTGTTTATATTGCCCACTGCTCCCATACCCTCAGTGGAGCCCCATGGCCACCTCTAAGCAGGTGCTCCTCCTGCCCTTGTTTGGCAGATGAGGAAACTGAGGCTCAAGGAGCAGCGAAGGGCTTTTTTCAAATGCATATCAGGTAAGTGGTTGAGATGGAATTCTAACCCAATCCTCAGAAGTCCCTGGTCTGGCTTCTGAACCACCTGTGTCCGTCCTCTGATGTATGTGTGAACCAGCTTTCCATTCCTGGAGTAAATACCAGCGATCGTAGTTTGTCAAAAGAAAAGGGCTCCGTGGCTCATGGTGTCTGAGGTCTTGGGCCTGTGGGCAGGCAGCACCCCAGGGCAAGAGTGCAGGGAAGCAAAGTTGTGTCATGGTGCCAGGAAGCAAGAGAGACAGAGAGCCATGCCAAGGTCCCCTGTGTCCCCCAAGGGAGGTCCTTGGTGAGGAAAAGATCCTCTAGGCCCTGCTTCTGTTTCCACTGCCCTCCAAGAGTGACCGGCCTTTAGCACATGGGCCTCTGAGGACATTCAAGATTCAGTTAAGCTGGGTGTGGGACACACCTGTCATTTCAGCATTCAAAGCTAAAGCAGGAGGATCATGGATTCGAGGCCAGCCTGGGCTACCCAGTGAGTTTTTGTTTGTTTGTTCCTTTGGTTTTGTTTTTTTTGTCTTTTTGAGACAGGGTCTCGCTATGCAGTTCAGGCTGGCCTTGAGCTCACTTAGCCCAGGCTGGTCTTGAACGTGCAACACTCCTCCTGCCTCAGCCTCCTGAGTGCTGGGATTACAGGCGTGTGCCACCATGCCCAGCTACCCAGTGAGTTTGAGGCCAGCTCCAACTACGTAGTGAGACCCTGTCCCCAGACAAGCCAGCAAACAAGACCCAGACTATGCAGCAGCGTGTGCTTGTGCGTCTGTAGGAAGCCCTGGAAGATGAGGTCTGGTGGTTTCTTGGGTCTTCCTGGTGGCATGGTCATGGGGCTTTGATTTTTCTTCTGCTTTCTAGATGCCCTTCGGTGACTAGGTGCCACTTGCCTGGTTAGCAGGAGCTCTTGGCCATGACTCATCACCATCTCTGTTCTGACGGTGTGTCGGGCTGGGGGTAGTGCTGATGGCTGACCTCCCACTTATGCTGTGTCACTTCCATGTGCCCCTCAAGGGCCGCTCTGAGTTCACTTCCTGCTTCTCTGGGGTCTCAGGGCCAGCACAGCCACAAGGGCGCGTGTGGGCCAAGCTCCCACTCCACAGTGTAGCACTGCCTGTGTTCCTGTCACTCCTCTGCCTCCTGGCGGCGGGGGCAGGGAGGGGAAGGGATGGGCGGGTGCCTTCCTTGTCCTGCTGCTGCTTTCTCCATGTGGCTGACATCACTTTTGTGGCCAGGACTCAGCCTGGGGTTTCCAGTCACAGAGGTTGCAAGTCTGGAACTTTCCACCCCAGCCAGGCGCTTCTCCTGGAGGGCAGAGGGTTGTGCAGTGTGGCGTGGCATGCCTTGCTGGGAGATCCCCGAGGTTGCACCAGAGCCTGGGGTTGTCCCGCCTGAGCTCCACCAGCTTTCGTGTCACTAATCTGTCACAGGCCCAGCACACTGCACGTGTGTGGTGACACGCTGTGCATGGCCCAGGGAGGGAGTGACTGCTCAGAGTGTCACTCTACATGGGCTGACGTTCTGGAAGTAGAGAGATTTTTTTTTTTTTTGAGACAGGGTCTTGCGTTGTAATTCAAGCTGTTCTTGAATTCACTGGGTAGCCCAGGTGGCCTTGAGCTCACAGATCTTCCTGCCTCAGCCTCCCGAGTGCTGGGATGGGTATGTACCACACCTGGCTATTTTATATCCATATGGCTATTTTTTGTAGTACTAGGTTGAACCCAGGTCCTTCACACTGAGCCACATTCCCAGCCCTTTTTTAATTTTTAATTTTGAGATGGGGTCTTGCTGAGTTGCTAAGTTACCCAGGCTGGGCTGGAATTTGTGATCTGCTTGCCTCAGCCTCCCAGAGTGCTGGGATTATAGGCGTGCGCCATGTCTGGCTCTTCTTTGGGCTTTTGTTCTGATCCTGGGACTGAACCCAGGGCCTCACACTGGCTGGGCAAGCACTGCACTGTACAGCTCCAGCCTGAATGTTCCCAGTTTGTCTCTGTGTGTGTATTTATGACCAGAGTCATGGAAAGACTGAAATTTGTGAACCGAGGTCCCACCATATTAATTCCGTGGTAAAAGATGAAAAGCAGTAATGCATTGCTTTTATTATTGTCAACAGTAGCTTCCTGCACATTTGTGCTGTGCTTTGGTGTTGGCCAAGGGCCTTTGTGTCCAGCGGCTCTCTTTCTCTCTCTCTCTCTCTCTCTCTCTTTTTCAGTGGTACTAGGGTTGCACTCAAGCCTCCTGCATGCTGGGCAAGCACTATATCACTGAGCTACCTCCCTGCCCTTTTTATTGTACTTTGAGATGGAGTCTTAGAGCTGGCCTTGAACTTGTGATTTTCCTGCCTTGGTCTCCTGAGTAGCTGGGCTCACAGGCAGGTGTTCCCGTGCCTGGCTCCCAGGGGTGCTTGTGACTCTTGTCATAGTCCATGAGGGTGCTGGGGCCTGAGTTCCGTGTTCGCTCCTTCCTCACCAGGCCTGGGCCTTGGCCAGCCGGAGCCGAGACTCAGGGTCCTGCAGAACCACCATAGGTGGCTCAGGTGCTGGCTTTGTCCAATCTGTGCCAAGCTAGGTTCTGTGCTCCAGGGCTGTAGTGGTGAATGAAATAGCAACAGCTCCTGCCTCCTGGGGCCCATCCTAGATGGAGGCAGCATCAACACTCCTGCTGTGTTGAGCAGCCCTGGCAGACAGCGGCTGCCCCAGGCTCGCACCCTCTTGTCCTGTGATCTTGCTGTTGTCCTGTGGCAGCCAGGTTGATGTTTACCTTCACTTGCTCATGTGTGAGTCCCCATGAGTGTTCAACAGAGTGAGTGGGTTTTTTATTTTTATTTTTCCAGTACTAGGAATCGAACTCACGACCTTGCGCTTGCCAGGCAGGCGCTGTGCCACCGAGCTAAATCCCCAGCCGCTCAACAGAGTGAGTGTTGAAAGATTCGGGTGGAGCCGGGCATGGTGGCACACGCCAGTAATCCCTGCACTTTGGGAGGCTGAGGCCAGGAGGATTGCAAGTTCAAGCCCAGCCTGGGCAATTAGTGATTTAGTGAGATTGTGCCTCAAAATAAAAAATAAAAAGGGCTGGGGATTTATCTCAGCGTGAAGGCCCTGTGTTCAATCCCTACGTAAATACATACATGCGTATGTGCATGCACAAAGTAGAAAGGAAGTGGCAGGTAGGGAAGGTGACCGTGGTGGCGTGGGTCCCTCGGGGAAGGCCTGCCTCTCAGTGTCTCCCGTTTGCCTTCCAGCCTCCTACGTGATCACAGACCTAACGCAGCTGCGGAAGATCAAGGCCATGGAGCGTGTGCAGGGCGTGAGCATCACGAGGGAGCTGCTGTGGTGGTGGGGCATGCGGCAGGCCACAGTGCAGCAGCTGCTGGACCTCCTGTGCCACCTGGAGCTCTACCGCGCTGCCCACATCATCCTGAGCTGTGAGTGACCGGGCCGCTCGCTGGCTGCTTACTTCGTCTTAGTTGCTGGAGCGAGAGCCCTAGCCTTGTACATGCTATGCAAGTGCTCCTCCTCCAAGCTGCACCCCTGAGTTACATCCCAGCCTTTTGAGTTTTTGTTTTTGAGACAGGGTCGTGCTAAGTCACTAAGTTCCTGAGGCTACACCTGAACTTGTGATCCTCCTGCCTCAGCCTCCCAAGTAGCTGATATTACAGCGTGCACCTCTGCCTGGCCAGGACACTTTTTAAGATGTCAGTCGTGGTGGATGAGGATGTGGCTCAGTGGTAGAGATTTGCCTGGCATGCAGGAGGGCTTGGGTTCAATCACCAGTGCCAATGAGACAGAAAAAGAAAGTGGATTATCTATTTCAAAAAATAGTTAAATGAACACTTTAAAAAATCCAGTAGCTTTGACATAGAAGTGCAGAATAGTCTATAGCAAAAATGATTCACATTGTCACCTGGCGCCTCCTTTTTACATCTCTGGAGGCAGCCATTATAACAGTTTCTTTTCATTATTGTTTTGTTTTGGTTTGATTTGGTTTGGTTTGGTTTTTTGAGACAAGATCTCCCTATTGTAGTTCAGGCTGACCTTGAACTCACAGAGATTCTCCTGCCTCAGCCTCCTAAATGCTGGGCTCATAGGCATGCGGCACCATGCCCAATTAGCAGTTTTTTATGGTAGAAACATAAGCAAGTGCATTGTGTGTTCACAACCCCTTTTCATTCTGATGAGAGCAGGCCACACACTGGTGTGCGCTTACAGTGTCACCTCGGTTCATGAATGTTTTTGTTTGTGAACAAAACAAACAAAACATCATCAGGCAACAAACATGACCATGGCCATCTTTCCCAACAAACACAAACATGTTTTCTAAAATCGAGGCACAGATTTGTGAACTGAGGCGGCACTGTGTTTTTCACTCAGCACTAGATTTTGGAGATGGTTGTACGGCACATCCTTCCTCACGGCTGGGTGTCGGGGCCCACCCTCTGCTTCTGTGCATCAGTGTGCTGCCGCCCTTGAACACGCACACATTTGAGCACAGTGGTGGGAAGTCTTTAGCGCTGGAATGGCTGGGTTGAACATTTGTGTGTTTTGGGGGTTGCTAAATTGCTCCTCTACAAGTGGTCTGACCCTGGGGCCATGTGTTCCCGTGACAGCAGCTCCCTGCCTTGCGGGGAGGTTGCTGAGAGGTTGGGGGATGGATGTGACCGAGCTGGTATCCCGCCAGCACTCACAGAAGGCTGCAGGGGTGGGCGCAGGGTGGGGCTGTGTCCCCACTGTGCCCTCCATGTGGGCAGGAAGCCAGTCTTTGGCTGGCATGTGTGCGGCCCCCATCCTGTGCCCGCTGAGCTGGCAATCTGGAGTAGCGTGTGGCGATGCAGCCGGTTCCACCGTCCGTGTGGAGGCCACCAGCACACAGAAGAGGGAGGAAAAGAAGTGCACCAGTTAGAGAAGGCCAGGAGCTCAGGTGACCAGGTATTGGCTGCCTGGGAGGCTCCCAAGGAGGGGCGCTGCACAGATGAGACTTAGGAACTGTTGTGAGGGCCGAGGAGCAGGGCCAGGATGCGCAAAGGCCCCGGGGAGCTGGGGTGAGGAGCATTTCTAGAAAAGGAAGGTCTATGGGGTGTGGAGAGCAGAGCAGGATGGGCCCCCAGAGTTGTCCTGTCTGGGGCTCCATCCCTCAGGCCTTCTGGACTTAGGGGGCTCCAATTACCAGAGCTGGGAATTAGAGCAAGGAACCAAGGGGCAGGCCCTGGGGAACACGGTGGCAGGTAGAGCTGCAGCCCACACTGCCCAGTGACTCCCGGGGACATGGTGTGCACAGGGCACCCTGGCTTTTGAACATGGAGACTTCCTGTCTGGGGCCTGGAATGGCGCATGAGAGACCCAGCTGTGTGTGTGTCTGCACAGCCCACCCTGCTCCCTGTGTGCCCGGCAGGGTGGCCCACACCCTAGGCTGGCGCCTCCCTCACAGCTGCCATCCGAGCCCCCTTCCTGTCCCGGGGGCACTGCTGCTCAGGACATAGCCTGCTTACTTGCCAGGGCCTTGCGCTTGTTAGCTAGAGGCCTGGGTGGTCTCAGCCAAGGCAGTGCCTCAACAGCCTCTGCCCTGGAGCGCTGGCACACATGGCCTTGGGTTTGCGCAGTGTGATTGCTTCCTGCCGGCTAGGCTGCGATCCCAGCGTCTGCTTCTCTGTAGTCCCAGAACCTGACATGTGGCAGATGCTGAGTTTTGTGTGTTGTTTTTTTTTTTTTTTTTTGTACTGAGGGTTGAACCCAGAGTCTTTGTGCTGAACAACATCCCCAGTCCTCTTTTTTTATTTTGAGATAGAGTCTTGCTGAGTCCTAAGTTGCTTGAGCTGGGCCTGAGCTTTTGATCCTCCTGCTTCAGGCTCCCACAGTGTTGGGATTACAGGTGTGCCCTGGCATGCCTGGGGCTGAGAAATGATTATTGAGTGAATATGCCCTAAAACACGTCCACATTTTGAGAGATTAATAACCAAGGCAGTGGATGAAAAGGGGTGAGGAGAAGCCCACGGCCCCTGTGCAGTCAGGACCCGGGGCTGGGGTGCCTGCTGGTCTGCTTTGGGGGCAGGCAGCAGTGCGAGGCCAGGGCTGGGCTCCACTGTCCCGGGGTCAGGTTTTGCACAGCGCGCTGACAGGACTTGGAGAGCGCAGCAGCGCCGTGGATTGGACACACCGGCCCTGGGGGACAGCTGCGTGCCTGGCTGTTGCCCAGTCTGGAGAAGACCCATCATCTTGAGGTCAGCACGCACATGGTGCAGTGGGGCAGGTACACTCCTGGGACTCTTTCTGAGCTCCAGTGACAGCACTTGGAGGGCCAGGTCCTCGGCTGAGCATGGATAGTACCCAGCACCCCTGCAGGTCTGGGGAGCCCCTTCTGTTGGCCATCAGAGCTGGCCTCCTGGGTGGTGTCGACGGAGCTGGGGCTTTGGGCGTCAGGAGACATCAGTGATGTCTTGGCTGGGCCTCCATTGGCATAAAGAGACCCACTCCTTGGGTCTCCAGGGGTGCTTCCCTGCTCCACAGCCCTGCTGATGAAAGGGGCTACAGGGACAGGGAGGGCCCAGCCCCTCTGCCCTGGCTGTGCTTGGTGGGGTCTGGTGTGTTTTCAGTGCTGCTTTAAGTACTCAGGCCAGGTATGACTTTCTGTATCTCACATGTGTGTTTTGCTTTGAAGAAGTGCTGTCAGTCCCCATCACTTCCTGGGCATAAGTGTGAGGGTGTGTGAGAAGCATTTGGTGGCTGTGTCCCTACTGGCCCAAGCCTCTGCTGTCAAGTCATAGAATTAGTCCTCTGTTTTTTGTTTTTTTGATACTGGGAATCGAACTCACAACCTCATGCTGTGCCGCTGAGCTGTATCGCTGGCTCCCAGCCGTCTGACAGTTTGCTTTCGCTTGCTCTTTTTTTTTTTTTCTTTAATTTTAAGAATAAAAGGAGGAAAACATTAACAGACAGACAACCTTTTACAACATAGCAAAAGAACAGTACAGACAATACAGAGTTACAAACAAAGTGGTAGGAAATTAACAATGCTTGTTG